CTATCCATATGGATGTAATAATCATGAAGCAACAAATTTCAAGAAAATATTCATGCAAATCCTTAATAATTTGGTCAAAAAATGTTGGAGTAGATGACGTCATTTACTCAATCCTTTTGTTCTTCCATCTTTGGAATCAAAATTTCTCTGATGTGGGATAATTCCAAGACAAATATTTTCCTGCAATTGTTTTTAATAGATATAAATGAGTCATATATTTGTATTGCTTGAAGTTTTGAAATGAGGCCATTTTCATGCAAGTGGCACTTTAACTACCAGATTTATCATCTCCGCAAATCTTATACTAAGCTTAATTTCTGTGCCAAAAAAGATAAAAGCACTTTGCCTAAACCGGTTCCATTTTAATTTCATTCGAAGAACTGCCATTCTTTGAACTCTCGCATTGTGGAATGCAAAGGTCCAAGTCGATTTTTTTGAGCATAAACAAGAGATTTTGTACTTCTACATGATGTAGCACGCCATTTGTCTCTGTTTATACCTTAGTAACCTCCCATGTCTCTTCTTGTAGCAAAATAAGCATTTTTTGGCAAAATATGCATTTCGGGTTTCCTGTGTGAAAGATTTTGGCGGGTATATCGAAACAATACAAAGAATATATGTCAGATGAAAGAAAGGCGCCCCTTTTTAAATACAAAGGGAAATTACAGTTCAGAGAGCGTGAACTTTGATATATAAGTAGATTTTTAGTAAGAAAACCACTTTCATTCTGTTAAAATCACGTTCCCTTGCCTAACTCATACATGAGCCCGCGTGTTTACATCGAACCGCTGACTGTATCAAATTTCTGGGAATGATCTATTGCAAATTAAAGTTACATACCACCAGAAGAATATCTGTAGCAASCCAGGGACTGCAGCTGCAACTGAAAGCATTCTCCAGTCTCGTATGAGATACGCCCATAATGGTAACAGCATCAGCGATGTTGTAAAAAAATACCACATACTGGTGCCGGCCGTTGCACGATGTTTGACACCCACATATTCGACCAGGAGAATGAACGTAGCTAGTGATGAACTGCCTGTTCAGTAATTGAAAATACTAAATGTAAGGGTGATTAGAATATTTTTTGAGACACAGTTTACTCCAAATCTAAAGGTAAATATTTCTATTTCATTTTTTTTTCAAATACATTCAAAAATATTTCACTTCATTTTCCAAATACATTCAAACGCAATTAATAAAGAGCCTWAATTCAATTTGCAAAGAAATTTACCATACTAAGTTCAAAAACATTGAATTTACAAAGAAAATTTCCCGAGGGTAAAAATC